GTTGCAGGCACAGCACGCCGCGTGGTGGGCGTTTCCTTGCCCTTGACAGAGAAGTTCGACCCTCTTGGGCTTGGCAGCACCGACCCTGGGTTGAAGTATCAGTGGTCACGGGCGTGCGTAGAGGCGGCAGGGTCAGTTTCAATCCCTGGCCTAACCCTCGTGATGCGTCGTCTTCGGGTTCGCTCCACAAAATTGTGTCCCGAGCACCGAGGATGCCAAGATGGATCGCTACACTCAAGTGGAGATCAAGCATGGGAGGTCGCCCGGGTCATTCCGGGTCATGGTGCTCCATGCGCTCCATTCGTGGGCCACCTCGCTAGCATGGCTAGCGCAGCATGACGATTCATGTATTCACATTTGTATGTTGGCCATGTTTCCATGTTTGCATTCATGTGGTTTCTTCGTTTCTCAAAGCCCGAAACCCAAATGCGCAGTGCGGCAGTAGAAGGAAGCAACTGGTCAGGCCATCCCCACCTTTTTGAGACACGAGACCCAAATGCCTCAGGGTGGCCATGATCGCAACTGTTGGCTACATCATGCCTGAGATCTTCCGGTTTCCTGGCTGCGAGGCTGGTCTGAAGGAAAGGCATCCTCGTGACGTTAACAAGAATTATGGCGACTAAGCGCATCCTCGTCGACCTGATCGATTTGTCATTATATACTTATATACCATTATACAGCCATATTTCTTCACTGTTTCTTTAATGTTTTTACCCAAGGATGAGCTTGATGGGTTGGTTGACAGATACTGCAGGAAGGCTGCTGTGACGCGATCACTCCCTCCCTTTGCAAGTTCGATCATGAAACGGATGGAGAGCGCTGAGTTAGTTGACCGTCGACATCTATTCGCTGAGTTGACTCTCCAAGACTGTACAGCGCCAAGTTTGCTCTTGGGCGGTGAGATCTATCTCTATCTCTATCTCAATCTCTATCTCTATCTCTATATATCCATATCTATATCTATATCCATCTCTCTCTATATCTATCTATCTATCTATCTATCGATCGATCGATCGATCGATCTATCGATCTATCGATCTATCGATCTATCGATCTATCGATCTATCTATCGATCTATCTATCGATCTATCTATCGATCCATCGATCCATCGATCCATCGATCCATCGATCCATCGATCCATCGATCCATCGATCCATCGATCCATCGATC